GCTAGGCCATCGGCCAGTGAGCTCCAGGGGTCCACCTTTTTGCAACCCATCACATCTCCCCCAGTACTGGGGTCCCAGGTGTGTACCTCCTTGTCCAGGTTTATGTTAGTGGTGGTGGGCAATCCATACTCATGTCTTCAAGGCTGATCAGAAAGAACTTCACCTCCATTTTGTTTGTTTGTGTGGTTGGTTTTCAAGACAGGGTTTCCCTGTGTAGCTTTAGAACTTGTCCTGGATCTCGTTCTGTAGACCATGCTGGTCTCGAACTTACAGCGATCTGCCTGCCTTTACCTCCCCCCCCACACACACACCCAGTGCTGGGATTAAAGGTGTGTGCCACCACCACCTGGTGCATTTCACGCTTGAATCATTTCCTCAGCCCAGTGTTAAACTCCGAATCTCAGTTGGAGTTGACATTTTTTCTCTCACTGCATCTGGTTTTTTGTTTGTGTTCATGTGTATAGGTATTGAGTGTTTTGCCTGTATGTATATATGTACACCATGTCTGTTTCTGGAGCCCTCAGAAGTTAGAGAATTGCAGTTATAGATGGCTATGAACTGCCATGTGGGTGCTGGGAATCAAGCTTAAGTCCTCTGCAAGAGCAGCCCGTGCTCTTAACTGCTGAGTCATCTCTCTAACTGCCTTTAAAATTTTTATTTTATTTATTTTATATTTTATGCATTGGTGTTTTTCTTGCATGTATGTCTGTGTGAGGTGTTGGATCCCTGGAAGTGAAGTTACAGACAGACAGCCATGAGCTGCCGTAGTGTGCTGAGGAGTCAGTGTGGAGTCTGGAAGAACAGCCAGTGCTCTTACCCATTAAGCCATCTTTCTAGCCCCATTTCCATTTTTATTTTTTTCCTGGACTGGAGAAGTGGCTCAGCAGTTAAGAGAGAGCAATTACTGCTCTTCCAGAGGACCTGAGATGGATGGTGGGTTCTTTTTTTTTTAAAAAAAAAATATTTATTTATTATGTATACGATATTCTGTCTGTGTGTAAAACTGCAAGCCAGAAGAGGGCACCAGACCTCATTACAGATGGTTGTGAGCCACCATGTGGTTGCTGGGAATTGAACTCAGGACCTTTGAAAGAGCAGACAGTGCTGAGCCATCTCTCCAGCCCTGGTGGGTTCGTCCTTCCTTCCTTCCTTCCTTCCTTCCTTCCTTCCTTCCTTCCTTCCTTCCTTCCTTCCTTCCTTCCTTCCTTTCTTTCTTTCTTTCTTTCTTTCTTTCTTTCTTTCTTTCTCAAAGTCTCACCAGGCGGTGGTGGCGCACGCCTTTAATCCCAGGACTCGGGAGGCAGAGGCAGGCGGATCTCTGTGAGTTCGAGGCCAGCCTGGTTTACAAGAACTAGTTCCAGGACAGGCTCCAAAGCCACAGAGAAATGCTGTCTCAAAAAAACAAAACAAAACAAAACAAACAAACAAACAAAAAAGACAAAGTTTCACTATGTTGTTCTGGTTGTCCTAGAACTTACTTTGTTGACCAGGCTGGCCTGTGCACACATGTGCATGAGTATGTGTGTGGAGGCCAGAGGACAACTTTCAGGAGTTAGTTCTCTCCTTCCGTCTGTGGATCCTGTGGCCTAGACTCAAGTCATCAGGCTTGGCAGCAGCTCTCACCCATGGAGCCATCTATACCCCCACCACTTTTTAGAGTAGTCTCTCTGCGTAGTCCAGACTAGCTCTGAGGTCATGATTTGGCCGTTTCTATCACCCCGGTGCTTGGTTTAGAGGCAGATTTCTTCTTAGTATCCATTAAAGCACAAAGAGAGACAATGCTTTCCTGTGAGAGCGGCGTAGTGGCTCTGGGAAAACTAAGGGAGGCATTCCTCTCAGATCCTGGGCTCCCTCCATACAGAAGCTCCATAACAGAAGGCTTATGTTCCTCCTGGACAAAGCCAGGGAGCACAAAGGTGAGGAGTGTCTCCCAAGGCCAGCCAGCAAGATATCTGGATTCCACACCTCAGCCTTATCCCTGGGAGACGATGCCAGTTAAGCAGGGAGAACTGTTTCCAGATCTTAAGTTGGCCTAGGCAGCCTCCCCTTGTGGGAGGAAGCTTTGGAGGAGCCATACTGGATCCTGGGGGAGGAGAAGAGAGCGCTGCAGGGGATAGCAGTGGAGGGACTCTGTCCCTCACCTCATCTGCCTTCAGAGGGGCCCCCTCACAGCCAGTGTCCCTGTCTCCTGCTCCTCCTCCTTCCTCAGGAGCAACCTTTAACCCTCCTCCACACACGTGCAAGGATACCTACCCCACTTGTTCTCCTCTGTCTGAGCTGCAGAGTGGACAGTGGCTATCAATGGAGAACAGAGACTCCTGCTTGCATCGAAGGCTGCTTCTGCTATTGCTGCTGCTGCTGCCACCACCTCACACCCACCAGGGACAGCCTCTGAGACACACTGTCCCTAACCAGGTGCAGAATGGGATGGGGTTCCCCTGTGTGTTTAAATGAGCTACGTTTTAGCTCTGCCTTTTCCCGTCCTCTCCTCTTCTGACCTGGTAGCTGCGCTTGCCTGCCTCTGAAACGTCTTGACTCAGCTCGTTCTCTTTTTCTGACAGAGTGCTCAGGCCCCTCCGGCTAGGTACCTCAGCAATGGCCCAGGACAAGAGCCTGTCACTGTGATAACCATTGATGTCGCCAAAATCAGCAGGTACGGGAGTTACTCTGCCTCTTTTTGTCTTAAACTTCTTTTTATTTTTATGTGCACTAATGTTTGGCCTGCGTGTATGTCTGTGTGAAGGTGTTGGATCCCCTGGAACTGGAGTTACAGACAGTTGTAACTCTGGAAGAGCAGCCAGTGTTTTTAACAGCTGAGTCATCAATCCAGCCCAGTCGCTAGACCTCTTGACCCAGCCCTCTGACCTTCCCTTTCCCCCCCATGATATCTCCCAGAGTTCCACTCCCCTCAACCCTGAAACCCCACACGTCCCATACAGTCTCTCCTTCTGTGTCCTTCCAGACCCTATTCCTCCTTTGAGTTTCGAACCTGGGATCCAGAGGGAGTGATTTTTTATGGGGACACTAACACCAAAGATGATTGGTTCATGCTGGGACTTCGGGATGGCCAGCCTGAAATTCAGCTGCACAATCTCTGGGCTCGGCTTACAGTAGGCTTTGGTCCTCGGCTCAGTGATGGGAGATGGCACCAGGTAAGAGAACTCTGCTGGGGGATGTCACCTTTATCTGATGAGGAAGGAGAGCAGGAGCATCCCTTCACAATGGTCCTCTCTTCTTAGTGATGCACAGTCCCTGTGAAGTAGCTGTTCTTATCCCTGTTTCATCAGATGGGAATCCCCAGGCGGAGTCAGTATGTAGTGACACAGTCTGAGGGACCAAGGACACATCTTCTAGTGCATCCTCTTTCAACTGCGCTAGGCTGCCTCTGAGGAAAGTGGAGGTGACAGACTCAGGGCCCTCTGCTTCTGCTTCTTTCTGCTTCTGGTCCCGTCCTGTAGGTGGAGCTGAAGATGAATGGGGATTCACTGCTGCTGTCCGTGGACAGGAAGGAGGTGCTGTGCCTGAGACAAATCTCTGGAACTCTGGCTGATAGGGCCCAGCCCAGCATGAGGATTGCCCTAGGGGGACTCCTCCTCCCTGCCTCCAGTCTTCGGTTCCCGGTAACTACACCCTAGGGCCAAGCTATGGAAACCTAAGTTCAGGTTTTAGGGAGAGTGGGGTGGAGTAAGAGCTATGTGGCTACATGGAAATCTGGGTGATGGAGGCAGAGGCAGGCAGATCTCTGTGAGTTTGAAGCCAGCCTGGTCTACAAGAGCTAGTTCCAGGACAGCTAGGACTGCTACACAGAGAAACCGTGTCTCAAACAAACAAACAAAGAGCCACAGAGAGAAAAATAAACACTTGCCTTTCTAAGAGGAAATGTTAGGGGTTAGGATTCAGATGCCCTGAGCCCACCATCCCACCACTCCACTCCCAACCCACTTCAGCTGGTTCCTGCACTAGACGGATGTATACGTCGAGATGTCTGGCTGGGCCACGAGACCCAGCTCTCACCCTCTGCCACTACTAACCTCGGAAACTGTGATGTGGACTTGCAGCCTGGACTGTTCTTCCCGCCAGGAACCCATGCAGAATTCAGTCTCCAAGGTAGACTTTTGAAAATCTCTTTCCTCTCTTTGTCCAGTTCTGCCTTCCTCTGTCTCTCTTTAACATAAAACCCAAGTCTTACAGCCTCAGGAGAATAATTTTTCCCCCTAGACATTCCCCAGCCTCACAAGGACCCCTGGAGCTTTTCTCTGGAGCTGGGATTTAAGATGGTGGATGGTTCCGGATGCCTCCTTGCTCTTGGGACAGGAAGAAATTCTTCTTGGCTTACCCTTCACCTCCAAGATCAAGTAAAGGAAGAGGGTGGGATGCTGGCTGTATTTAGCGGACTCTGGGGAAAATGAGGCAAGGGGGTGGTTTAGTAGTAGAAAGGCTTAAGTGGGCATTGAGATCAGGGTGGAAAGCCAGAGACATCACAAAAGGCAGACAGCTTTTACCTAGACTGCCTGCTTATTTGGGGCTGGGGATGGTTTCACAGAAGGTCAAACCAGGACATTGCATAGAAGTATAGCTCAGAGGCAGAATTAAGGGAGCGAGGGGAGCTGCAAGGTGTGGACTGGCTCCATCTTTCCCTCTTAATGCCTTCTATGCCCCGCCCACTGCAGAAGGTGGTGCTGTCTTCTGGAGTAGAACCAAAACTAACTTTACCCCTGGACTTGGAACTCCCTCTTCAGCTGAAGCTGGATAACTTCAAAGTGGTCTTGAGCCAAGGACCAAAGATGGAGGTCCTTGCTGTGTCCCTTTGGAGACTTGCCTCTCTCCAGAGACTCTGGTCCCACCCTCAGAGCCATCTCTCCCTTGGGGCTTTACCAGGTAAGAGAATTCTGTTTAAGTAGCTATAGGGAGAGTGGACACATTCTGAGGGGAAGGGAGCCTCGGGGAGAGAAGAAAGGGATGACATGTGGAGTATCGTTGAGGCATAGAGTGCAAACCTAGCGTGCATGAGGCTGTGGTTCTTTTACTAGAATGTGAAACTGGAATAGAGGGGGGGCTAGCCATGGAAACACACACAAACACCACACACACATCACACATACATACCACACACACCACACACACCACACACATCATACACACACCACACACACACATCACACATACACCATACACCTATCACACACACACCACACACACATCACACACCACACATACATACAACACACATAGCACGCACAGCACACACCACACACACACACATTTATTTACAATCAACACTGGGGAGGATTAGGCAAAATGAGTGCATGTTCAAGGCCAGCCTGTGCTACATAGCAAGACTCTGTCCTAAAATAATCTTTAAAAGGGAGAGGAAGTGATTGTGGAAATTCAGATGGTAGCGATGGAGCTACTTGGTCTGAGCTACCCTGATGCCACCTCGATACCACCTTTCCGTAGGAGACAACTCTTCTGCTTCCTTTTGCTTGAGAGATCTTTGGGTACAAGGACAGAGACTGGATGTAGACCAGGCCCTGAACAGAAGCCAGAACATCTGGACTCACAGCTGTCCTCAGAGCCCAAACAATATCACTCGCACTTCCCACCAAGCCAACCCCCTTTGAGAAGGAGGCATGGTGGTGCAAGCCTGGAAACCCATGACAGGTGGAGTTGGGAGAACCAGGCCTACAGTGCCATCCTTGGCTACATAGCATGCTTGAGGCCAGCCTGGGCTATGTGAAGCCCTGTAGTTAAAAATAAAAAGGAATTGTGAATGCAACCCATTTATTCAACGAATATTCACTGTACTCTGGCAGTGGACTGGGCAGCATGGTAAAGCACTGAGGTGTGCTGAAGAGTAAAAACAACTGTGCTTCCTTTTGATGTTCATGGACCAATAGGAGAGGTGGGTGAGCTTCAAATGGCAGCAAATAGAAGGACAACTGGCATTTATATGTGCTGCAGAAGTGCACCTGGACAGTTGTGCCAGCGCAGGGACGCTGAGGCTATAACATAGTCTGGAAGGCGGAGAGAGCTTTCCCGACGATATGGTGACTTAGGCTCAGCCCCGGCAACAGGAACCATGGACACACACACATCACCTTCTGGGAGCTGAGAGCCTGCCCTCTTCCCCAACATCCACATTCTGAGATTCTCATGTCAGCCCAGGAATTTGTTGTCTGGGGCAGCAGGGGGCGTAAGAGTGTCACGGAGAGCTGGAGCAGAGGTTCTGGGAAAATCAGGGAAGGAGCAAAAAGAGCTTAGAGTGGAAAGCTTGCCTGCTGGTGGGAGGCCCTGGGTTCTGTCCCTAACACTGCGAAAAGGAGAAAAAAGAAGAGGCCAGAGGGGCCAAAGCGGCAGCTCTCCTAGCCTCGTTTCTGCTGCTGCCCGCAGTAAGGCTTCTTTCATTAAACAAAGACTAGTTTGTCGAGGCTCCAAACGGAAAGAAGAGGCAGATTCAGGAACATTTCTGCTATCACAGAATTTAGAGGGGTTAGCGTTTCCCTACCGTGGAAGACCAAGGTGGGAGGTGCAACATTGTATCTAGTGGTGACGCCTGTTACCCCACCACTCAGTAGGTGGGTAGGACTTCCAGGAGTTCACCGTTACCTTGTACATCCGATGAGGTGGAGGTCAGCCTCGACTAGAAGACCTGTCTGACTTTGTGCAGCCGGTGAGGGGATCGAGGCCTGTACACGAGAGGCAAATACTCTGCCCCTAAAGTACATCTCCAGACTGAGACTCTGTGTAAAAATAAAAACAGGACAGGATATCGAGCCTCTGGTGACACTCACCATCCATGGCAACTTCAAGCCCAAGCAGCCAGCTCCATGTTTCAGCTCTTTTCAGAATCCTTATATCCTAGCTGCCAAGGAGTGAGTCCTCCCGAGACTTCAGCCTCAGTTCTGCCTCTCAGTCTCCCTTTGCAGCCCTGGCTACACTGGAACTTGCTATGTAGACCAAGCTGACCTCACTCAAACTCATATTCTCCCAACTCAGCCACTCTGGTGTGTGTACGTACCACTGTGCCCTGCTTACTCAAGAACTTCTTTTTAGGGGCTGGAGAGATGGCTCAGCGGTTAAGAGCATTGCCTGCTCTTCCAAAGGTTCTGAGTTCAATTCCCAGCAACCACATGGTGGCTCACAACCATCTGTAATGAGGTCTGGTGCCGTCTTCTGGCTTGCAGACATACACACAGACAGAATATTGTATACATAATAAATAAATATT